GCAAAACCAAATCCCAACAAGCCTTCACCCGATACAAATCTGCCTTCCACACCTACACCTCCTCCCTCCATACTGCCAAACAAGCCTACTTCCTGACCCTCATTAAGGCCCTCTCCTCCAATCCTCGCCGACTCTTCTCCACCTTCAACTCTACTCTCGCCACCCCCACCTCCACCCAGCACCTCACTCACTGCCCTTGAGATTGCCAATCACTTCAAAAACAAGATTGACACAATTCGCAAGGACATTGCCGCAACTCACACGCCTTCTCAACCCGTCCCCGCTCACACAGCTACCCCCTCATCCCCCCTCCCCCTCGACATAACCCACAGGGACTTCGTCGCTGCTCAAACTCCCTCCAACCCCCTTCCCCCTCACTCAGCTACCCCCTCTACACCCCTCTCCCACGGCCCCACCACTGCTCTGACCTCCTCTCCCACCCCACCCTACATTCCTCATACTGAAGCTCCCCCAACACTCCGCACCTTTGACCTTACTACCATCGAAGAAGTCTACAAGATCCTCTCTGATGCCCGCCTCACCACATGCCCCCTCGACCCTATCCCCTCACAACTCCTACAACCTCCCTCCCCCTCCTTCCTACGCTCCCTCACCCACATCTTCAATCTCTCCCTCTCCTCCTGCACTTTCCCTTCCCCTCTGAAACATGCACACATCACCCCCATACTTAAAAAGCCCTCCCTGGACCCCAATGACCCAAACAACCTCAGACCCATCTCCCTGCTCCCATTTACATCTAAACTCCTCGAGCGACTAGTCTACGCCCGCCTATGCTCTCCCTCAACGACAACAACCTCCTCGATCCCCTACAGTCCGGCTTCCGTCCCCTACACTCCACCGAAACTGCCTTACTCAAACTCTCCAACGACCTAACCACCAAAGCTAATGGCCACTATTCAGTGCTCCTACTCCTTGACCTCTCTGCGGCCTTTGACACAGTTGACCACCCCCCCCTCCTCAAAAAACTACACTCCCTCGGCCTCAGAGATTCTGCTCTCTCCTGGCTCTCATCCTACCTGTCACAACGCTCTTTCAGCGTTACCTATAATGCCACCACCTCCCTCTCACTCCCCCTCTCTGTTGGGGTCCCTCAAGGCTCTGTCCTCGGGCCCCTTCTCTTCTCCATCTACACCTCCTCCCTTGGCCAACTCATACACTCTCACGGCTTCAACTACCACCTCTATGCCGACGACACACAAATCTATCTCTCAACCCCCCACCTCACCCCCTCGGTCTCCGCCCGAATCACACACCTGTTGAGCGACATATCAGACTGGATGTCGCTCCACTTCCTTAAACTGAACCTCTCCAAAACCGAGTTTCTTGTCTTCCCTCCAGCCCGGACACCACCCCCCTTTGACTTCTCCATCATGTCCAACAACGCCACCATCAAACCCGCCCCGCAGGCCAGAGTACTTGGTGTCATTTTGGACTCCAACCTATCCTTCCAGCCCCAAGTCCACTCTTTAACAAACTCGTGCAGACTCCACCTCCGCAACATCGCCAAAATCCGCACGTTCCTAACTCCAGAAACCACTAAACAGCTCATCCACTCCCTCATCATATCACGACTCGACTACTGCAACTCCCTCCTCACTGGCCTGCCTCGCCGCTGGCTATCCCCGCTTCAGTCCATCCTAAATATGGCAGCCAGACTCATTCACCTTTCCAACCACTGCGTTTCCGCCACCCCCCTCTGCCAATCACTCCACTGGCTTCCGATTGCGCAACGGATCAAATTCAAAATCCTAACGCTGACGTACAAAGCTGTCCACCATACTGCCCCGAACTACATCACTGACCTAATATCCAAGTACCGCCCAGCACGCACACTCCGCTCCTCACAAGACCTCCTTCTCTCTAGTTCCCTGGTCTCCTCCTCCCATGCCCGCCTCCAGAACTTCTCCAGGGTGTCACCCATCCTCTGGAACTCCGTGCCCCAAGCCATCAGATTATCACCTACTCTCCTCTCCTTTAGGCGCACCCTGAAAACCCATCTCTTCAGGGAAGTCTACCCCGCCCCCTGCTAACTTGCCAACCTCCTCCACTCTTCCTACCACTCCATCCCCCACAGCTATCTCCTCCTGTGCCACCATCCCCTCCCTCCTAGATTGTAAGCTCGAAAGAGCAGGGCCCTCGATCCCCTCATGTTTTGCATTGTATTGGTATTGTTCTGTCACATGTTCTGTTCCCCTCTGTAATGTACAGTGCTGAGCGAACTATTGGCGCTTTATAAATACTGTATAATAATAATATATATATATATATATATATATACACATACATACACACACTGAAATTTTTGTTTTTTTATACTAGTAATGATCAGCGACTTTTAGCAGGAATACGGCAGGCAATCTGACACTGGGGTGGAACTGACTAACTGCTACATCTCCAGTGACACTAATACGCTGACACTGTGATAATGACACTGGGCAGGAAGGGGTTAACATCTGGGGCGATCAAAGGGTTAACTGTGTGTTAGGGAGTAATTTTATTGTGTACTGTGTTGTGTTATACTAAGCAGACCTGCTCCTTTCTATCTCTCTGCTGTGCAGAGATAGAAAGCAGCACGTCCATGCCGACAGGCGAGAGATACGTGTTCAAAAATAAACAATATATAGTGAGTGCTAAGAAAAAACTGGGAGCAGCTAGTACATATGGGGAACCCACTCCATATCACAATAAATATATCAAAACAAAAGTGCTGAGCTATATGAAAAAATATACAAATGTATCCACCTAAAAACTGAAAAACAATCAGTGAATAAAAGTGAAATGTAATGATACAGTGGCCCATAAATTATTATTATACAGTATTTCTATAGCACCAAAAAGTTTGCTCAGCGCTGTACATTATAGTGGGGGACATAACATGAGACAGTACAGTAACAATACAATACACGAGGGGTTCGAGGGCCCTGCTCCTTGGAGCTTACAATCTAGGAGGGAGGGGATAGTGGTACAGGAGGAAAAGGCTGTGGGGGATGGAGTGGTAGCAGGAGTGGAGGAGATCGGCTGTTAGGTGAGGGCGGGGTAGGCTTCCTGAAGAGATGGGTTTTCAGGGTGAGCCTAAAGGTGAGGAGGGTAGGTGACAGTCTGATGGATTGGGGTAGTGAGTTCCAGAGAATAGGGGAAGTCCTACAGTCAGGCGTGGGGAGGAGGAGACCAGGGAGCTAGAAAGTAGGTCTTGTGAGGAGCGAAGAGTGCGGGTTGGGTGGTATTTGGGTATCAGGTCGGTGAGGCAGTTTGAGGCAGCATTATGAATGGCTTTGTATGTCTGTGTTAGTAGTTTGAATTTAATGCGTTGGGCAATCGGAAGCCAGTGGAGGGAATGACAGAGGGGGGTGGCAGAAGAGGAGTGGTTGGTAAGGTGGATGAGTCTGGCCGCTGAGTTCAGGATAGACTGAAGCGGGGATAGTCTGTGTTGGGGTAGGCCAGTGAGGAGAGAGTTGCAGTAGTCCAGACGTGAGATAATAAGGGAGTGAACGAGTTGTTTAGTAGTGTCTGGGTTAGGAACGAAAGTATTTTGGAGATAAATGTAACATTTATGGGCTACTGTATCATATTACATTTCACTTTTATGCACGGATTGTGTTTGTTTTTAGTTGGATACATTTGTACATTTTTTCATACAGCTCAGCACTTTTGTTTTGAGAGATATGTGTTGTTTACACACTGGTCTCTCCATTTGCTGCTGGGGGGGGGCAGTAAAAACATGTCCCAACCATGGGTTTTTACCACCAGCCCCCCCAACTGCAAGGATAAAACAAACTCTAAGAGCTTGTTTACACTTGCGTCTTCTGTGTGAAGTGTGACCCGTGTTTGGATCACTCTTCTCACTGCTATAGGCAGGCAGTGAGGAGGCTTTGCATCACCTCCCTCTAAACACCGGACAAATGTGTGTTGATGCAGCACAGCCCCATTCACTTCAATGGGTCACGCTTGGCAGGTGGGGGTATAATTCCTGTCATGGCTGCCAAGCATGGCGGCCGCAGCATGTGTTCACCCACATCTGCTGCCTTTGCAGAAAAAGGGGAGCGGTTTTGAGGGAGTTTTACCTCCCCTTAATCGCAAAGGGAAAGGCCCCATTCATACTCCATGTGGTGTTGCTGCCTGCGACTTGTTTTCACAATACTAGGAGCCCATTCACTCCCATGAGCTGCCCTATGCGCCATTCACTCCCATGAGCTGCCCTATGCGCCATTCACTCCCATGAGCTGCCCTATGCGCCATTCACTCCCATGAGCTGCCCTATGCGCCATTCACTCCCATGAGCTGCCCTATGCGCCATTCACTCCCATGAGCTGCCCTATGCGCCATTCACTCCCATGAGCTGCCCTATGCGCCATTCACTTCCATGAGCTGCCCTATGCGCCATTCACTCCCATGAGCTGCCCTATGCGCCATTCACTTCCATGAGCTGCCCTATGCGCCATTCACTCCATGAGCTGCCCTATGCGCCATTCACCTCCATGAGCTGCCCTATGCGCCATTGTGGCTCCAAATCTGAGCCAGGACCCAACTTACTCTCCTGTTTTGTTTCATGGCAAATTCGCACTGCGCTTGGGGGGACAAATGGCACTCACGGGTAGAATCACGGCTAATATAGGCCCGTATGTGAACGCCATATAAACCAGTCATTAGGTTCCATGTACACCTGTGTGTTTCCGCACGTGTCTGGGAACCAGCAGAGGCGTGCGTTGTGCTTGCACCGCCTTGAATTCTTAAACGCACCCCAAACGCGGCTATCAGATGTGCGTTTTGTCACACAAAACTTCTTTTGGCGCGTTTGTAAGGGTATGGGGTGTCCCAGGTGTGCTGTGCAAAAATGCTCCAAAAATAAAAGCTGATGGGGAGCGCGTGTGAACGAGGCCTCCGGTGAAGGTGTACTGGGACGTAGCAGTGCCCCCTCCCCCATACAGCTCAGGCCCGGTGTGTGAGGAGGGTGATGCCGGCCGGGTCCCCTCCCATCTTACCGGTTGCGGAGGATCTTCTCCTGCCTCTCTAGGATCTCCAGCAGTTCCTCCACACTCTTCCCGGCTACATCCCCCACCGCCCCGGCCTTCCCGCCTCCCCCGGCAGAAGTCATCGTCTCCCCCACCGCCCTGTCAGCGTACCAGCCTCATCCCAACAGTACGCGGCCGGGCGCCGCCATGACAACTCGTCACATTCAATACAAAAAAAACTTTATTCACATCCAACTCTGCAATAGGAATTGCTTCACTTTACACAGAACGAGTCACGGCCGTTCATATGACTAACAGAACACCCGGCAATTCTATTTCTAGAGGGAAAAACTCCGCGGTTCTCGGGTGTAATAAGAGCCCGGATGCGCCCACATGCTAGCACTGCGCATGTTCCAAAAGTATCCATGCCGGCTCATATGTTTACATCCGGGACACTCTGTAAAAATACATTTTTGTGCTGGATTCCATGTGCCTGACAGGATATAAGTTAGGACAGTGCTGGAGTCTATCACTTCTTCATCTATGAAATGGCGGCCATACATCAATGATCAATTTATTATCTGATCAGTCTCTGACAATTAGGGAAGTTGTGCTTAGCTGCAGATGGTGGCTAAATGGTCATTTTGTCGCCATGTGCAGCTAAGCACAACTTCCAGCCACTATGTGCCCTATTTTATTTCTTTATTTTCTTTGGGAGTACTTTTTGTATGGTATTCTCTCCTCCCCTTTTTTTGGAGAGGTCTGTACTGTGTTTTACAGTGCATCATTTGCATTCCTCAAGCCAGTGAGGTATTATTGTCTGGATATGGTGATGTATGGGGCTTGTCCGTGAGAGGCTGACATTTAAGCCGTGGATGAGTGTACCCCGTATTACATATCTGTAGCAAGATAGATTATACTTTCTAATTAGTTTTGTCCATGGGGTAACTCCATTTCATTAATAGAGATTATATATTCAAGCTGATAGGTTTATGATCAAACTACAATGTCTCTTTGTATGCCGTCACTTCATCTAAAAAATGGTATGGTATTTGATTTGGTCTGATCGCTTCTCGGCCTTTTGGCTAAGATGAAGTGTAGTATCGACCTTGCCTTTAGGGGTGTCCCTGCTTCCAGCTAGGACGTTGAGAAAACCACTTGGTTATCTATCCCAGCCATTTGGTCTGTGTCACCAAAAAGCCGCTGGGCCGCCGCCGCCCCTGCCCCAAACCCCGGGAGAAGCCCCCTCCCCCCTCTCCTCCACCTCAGAAAGCTCCCGGCCCCCCGACGGGGCTCCCCCCCCCTGGAGCCCCGGATGAAGAGAATCGTGCTGCGGGTGAAAGAAGGGAAGGCAGAGTCCCGGCATACCCCGGAAGTTTCGGCAAGAAGATGATCCCCTTTAACAAAGGGTTTAGCAAGGGGAGACCCCGTCGGTCAGTCCTTCATAAAGGTATTTTCTTGTAACCTTTTTCTTTCGGTATGCGAAGGAATGGGAAAAACTGAAGACCTCTGGCCCCTTCCCTTTTGCAAGTTTATTGCGAATTTTCCCCTTCAAAAGGGCGAAAGGGGGGATCACGGTGTCCAAAGGAACCTCAGTCCCCGGAAAGACATCGCCACCTTCCAAGGGTTTTTTGTCGTTTTAAGGGGCCCCCGTCCGGATACTGACGCCAACGGCCCCTGGACGGTAAAA